ATATCTGGTCGCATAACAAGCTGAATGGCTTTTAACGAAAATAACTGTTTGAGAAATTACTAATACCAGAAGGCTACGCTGTTACACTCTCATTTCCCTTCTTAACCTTGGAAGTTAGCAGCACACCTGCGCTCTATGCAAGATGGCGGCACAGGTGACTGTGATAAATAACTGAAGCACGGAATGCTTAAATTAGAGATGACCAGACTTTCTAAATTATAAATTATAGAAATCAACTGCTAAAATTTAAGTCACGGGCTCTTTTGTACGATAATGCATTGACTGATTCTCTGTAGTTGCTCCATCAGAGTTGTTTCACCACAGACATGTACTGATATAGTTACGTAGTAGATTAGAAAATACTGCGTGTGCAGGTTGAAGGAAAGGATATAGCAAGTGGTGTGCCTTTCAATTGAGGTGAAATGTTGCCGTCAAGGCAAATATACTTGATGGAAGGCAGCGGAAAAAGTTCATAAACAAATCGCAAGTAAATGTCGATATGGTCGATTTGATAAATTTCGATAAACTTCAATATTTTATGACTTTGTTCTTACTGATCTGCAACTGAAATCATTTATCACAGGTGGTAAAAAAAGAACTACCACCAAACATATTTGATGCAGAAATTACAAAGAGCACTCTCTGGTTCCCTCGATAAAAAATCAACGAGATTGGCTATAAAAAAGAACACGGTCACTGAACTTATCGAAATCATAATTAACAAGTAGATATCCACATTGTCGTGCGACTGCACAGCCGGATAGATCACAGATGACGCCAATCAAAATGTGTCAAGAAAAAAAGACTCAAAACGAACCTCGCTTCCAGACTCAGCATCTTCTTTATTTTATCCTCACGTGTCTCACGAAATTGTTGAAGATTAAAAACCAAAAACAAAACAAAAAAAACCAACAAATCGGAAGATTACGAGCATTTCGATCGATCCTGAGCCACCCAATCCAATTTAAGCCCGCATTTCGCGTAAACAGCTGAAGATTCTAAGTGAGTGTGCTGACCAATTTATGCAGAGATTCGATCGCATGGAAAACCCTCAAAAGAATCGTGTATCTCTCTACCTCGCCTTTTCACTGAAGTTGACCGAAATATACCGTTCTCTGGCAACAAAGCCGTATTGTAGCCTCAATATTTGGGCCCGCAGAGTTTTTCTTCTTTTCGAAATCATGGTCGCGAGTCTTACAAAACCTAAGAGGCCCTTTTCATAGAGAGGTGCTTCGCCTTACGGAAATTCTCCGGGTTAGTTGTCTGAACGACAACTCACAATGCAATATATGTACGACCAT